TCTTGCTTTTATGTCCAATCTCTCTTTGCTTTACCTTACTGTTCATCTGTGTTTTCATCATACCGTTAGGCTCCTTACTATGTGCTCACCTATCTTACACTATGAAATGCTCATATTTGTTCAAAACAACAAAAAACATGAAAACATTAGAAACGCTTATCAAGGGAGAGTGGATGACTAATTACTCAATAGACTATATAGCAGTCAAAATTAATAATTTTCAGCAACACACAAAAATATTAGCAATATGATGAGTGAAAAGTTCTAAAAGATTACATATTGTATGAACCCCTTTTTATGAATGAAAAAAAAACTACAATAAAGAATTATATAAGTGAGTTATTTTTAACCACTCAGAGCCCACTTCCTTAACAATAAAAGGGAGATAAACACTCATCATACATGGCTGCAATTAGAAGTAGATAGTCATGATAATAATTGTATGTAGAATGCTCAGTGTTCAAAAAACAGTATCTTCAAGAATTATTTATGTAATCTTTGATTAAAAAAAAAACTTTGTCTTGGTTAAAGGCACTTTACGGATCAGAGAAGAAAGTACAGAAATGGGTACTTTTTTTAAGGAAAAGTAGGCCTTCCCTCAATCTTTCCTGAGAGCACACAAAACAGTCACCTAGTAGTCTACCTTTCCACCCACAGTCAGTAGATATTTTTGAAAATGAGACCCTGAGAACACAGGTAACATAAAACTCAAGAGGAAAGGCATTTTAAAAATCCATATGCCTTGGAATGTTAAATCACTGATATGATTATGTTTCAACTAAACTACATAATATTTTGATGCAGGACCTGTCACATTTTGATGAGAAGTTGAAAAGGGTATCAGTAGCCTCCTACACTGGAAAAATAAATGCTACTCAAAAGAATGCTACTCAACTCATGCTGTTTGAAAGAACAGGGGACACGACATTAAGTAATTGGGCAGAGTTTCTTTTCAAATTGGGTTTGTTTTGTCCAAAGCTGTGTGCTCTTTTCATCTTCCACTGCACAGCTGTCTGTCCTTACTTCTGAGAGCATTTTTCATTCTTCTTTGCCTTGGTATCTCATCATTTTATTTTACATTTGAACTGTTGCTGACTTTTTTTCTTGTCTTTTGATTTGTTTTTCTCTACATGGCAATTCATTACTCCCTTAATTGTGGACACATAGTTTTAAATATCCTTAGCAAGGCTGTTTCCCAAACTTCAGTAGTTCAGTTTGATGATTTGTTATAGCATTTAGAGTTTTAGCAGTGTCATGAGGGAGAACCACTAATCAGAGGGGAATGCCTCTACAAAGGGCAGTACTTTGAGTTCAACTCAACAATGGGTCTGGGGAATCAATCTGACTATCTTCCTTCTCTTTTCTGAAATAAACTGATAAGCTACTTATTATGATATAAAATAAATTTAAGTCTACTAAGAATTCTTTCTCTGGTGTTTAACTTAATTATCAGTCTATTTATTAACTATCATTTGAATACTTATCACATATACTATTTAATATACTGTCTAGAAAAGAAGTTGATGTGGTAATCCCTGTAGGCACTACTGGGGAAAAGATGAAGATATCAGAACATTCCAACATCTGTTTCCTGAAAACAATTTTAAAAACATGACACCACCCATCTAATTCAATAAAAATTGAAATTCAGTAGGTCATAAATACGTTAGAATAACTTTATGTAAAACCATCTTCAAGGAGAAAGGATCACTGAATTTTTTTGAAGGGCTGTGCTAGAGGAGATGGTAAAGGGAAGAAACTTCTGATTATAAAGATTAGAGGAAAGTCTAACTTTAAAAATCTTGGTTTAGCCCCGGCTGGTTTGGCTCAGCAGTTAGAGCATAGGCCCATGGACTCAAGGGTCAAGGGCTTGATTCCTAGTCAAGGGCCCGTACCTGGGTTACAGGTTAGATCCCTGGCCCCAGTTGGGGTTGTGCGGCAGGCAACCAATCGATGTGTCCCTTTCCCACTGATGTCTGTCTGTCTGTCTCTGTCCCTCCCTCCTTCCCTCCCTCCCTCCTCTTCACTCTATCTAAAAAATCAGTGGAAAAATATCCTTGGGTGAGGATTAACAACAACAACAACAACAACAAAAATTGTTGGTTTAAACTTAAGGATACCTTTATTTCTATTTACTATAAATAAGTAACTTCTTAGAAACTCCAAAGGCCAGAGAAACAGAAAAATCTGGGCTATACACATAATTTGCTAATTTTTATTGGCCAGATCTTTAAATTTAGACACCACATGTTCATTTACTCACCAGATATTTATCTAGCACCTGCTATGTGTCAATCAAGATGCCAGTTACAATGAATATAATAGTGAATAAAAATAGGCACAGTCTCTGGCACTATACAGGTTAGTGGTAGAAGGATAATAATCATATACTCTCAAACATAAATGTAAAAATACAACCGTCAGTGCATGTAGTACATGCTGCTGTGAATACAGGTCCCTAGGAAAGAAGGTATTTGACCATGTCAGAGAAAGTGTTTTGTGAATGTAATAGCTGAAATCTAAAGAACAATATCTAGACCAGGGGTTCTCAATAGGCTGTTGGTGGTAGGAGTTTACTTGTCATTGGACATTTGGCAATGTCTGGGAACATTTTTGATGGTCACAATAGCGAAATACTATGGGTATCTAGTGAGTAGAGAAAAAGGATGCAGCTAAATATCTTAAAATGCACAAGAAAGTTCCTCACAACAGAGAATTATCTGGCTTAAAATGTCAACAGTGTCAAGGTTGAAAAATTCTGAACTAGGTAAAGGAAAAAACACAACTCAAGACCAGTGGTGAGAGACTCAGCAGAGAAAATGGATCATTGAGGCAGAACATGTTGAGGAGTTTTAGCATTACTTAAGAATTAAGGGGAAGCCCTGGCCAGTTTGGCTTGGTGGTTAGAGCATTGTCCCATGGACCAATGAGTCTCAGGTTTGATTACGGTCAAGGGCATGTACCTCAGTTGCGGTTCGTTCCCGGCCCTGGTCAGGGTCGTGCGGGAGGCAGCCGTCGATGTGTCCCTCTCACGTTGATGCTTCTCTCTCCCTTTCTCTCCTTCCCACTCTATCAGAAGATAAATAGAAAAATATCCTTGGGTGAGGATTAAAAAAAAAAAAAAAAAACAATAAAGGGGAAAAAAGTAAAAGGTTTCGAGAAGCTGGGGGTGAGGACAGTGGTGGTGATTTGCTCAGATAAAGATTATTTTAAAGTTACTAACTGCAGTGTGATGAATAGATCAAAAGGGAATGAAACTGGATGTAGATGATGAGACAGGCAGCTAACTAATCTAACTTCTTAGAAACTCCAAAGGCTGGGGAAACAAAGATGGTAATGGTGAGGATGTAACAGTGGCCAAGAAACTTCTTTCTATAAATGTTCAGTTTGGGAAAAGGAGAAAGGAGGAATGGAGGGTATTGTGAGCACAGTCACTCCTACAATGTGGATTTATGTGCCCATTAGCCAGATGCATGTCCTTCAGAAGTCTCTCAAGGTGGAACAAATCTCTAAGAACAGAGGAAATGTCTCTGTATTTACAACTAAGGAACAAGAGTATTCCTTCTTTCTTTGTGAATGTGACATATGGTTACTTTTTTTTAAAATTGATTTTTAGAGAGAAAGAAAGGGACAGGGAGAGATTGAGACATCGATGAGAGAGAACATCGATTGGCTGCCTCCTGCATGCCCCCACACTGGGGATTTGGCCCACAACCTGGGCATGTGCCCTGCCTGGGAAATGAACCAGCGACCTCCTGGTGCAGGGGTCGATGATCAACCACTGAGCCACACTGGCTGGGTGACATATGGTTATTTTATTTGTAAGGATTCAAGCAACAAAAAACTCGAGTAATTAAATTATAACGCATCAGCTGCAATCCACATTTATAATCAGCAGCTTAGAAAGTGATAAAACCAATGACTGGCTTCACTGAGTATATTCTCAAGAATATGTTTTTCCTCAATTATTACATTAAAAACTAAATAAAAAATATTAAAAACTACTTTGAATAAAACATATATAGAAAAGAGAAAATATAATATACAATGCATGGTTTAAAGAATAATAAAACTAATACACATGAACTCACCCTGAAGTAGCAATTTTTTTAAATAGCAGAAATTTTCATAAATGTTTTGTTTCATAAATGGCTTTTAAGATAAAAATTTATGTTAAAACTACATAAAGGACACTTCAGGGCAACACTTGCCCACCACAGATCAGTAATACTATTAAATGAAAGAAAACCTCTGTCCTGTGCACACTGAATAAAAATTCATGTATTTAAAATTTTTCATTTAATATCTGATAGTGTTCACATTCCAGTTGACAGTTAAATTGATTAACCAAACAAAATGAGTCTTTCTTCACTGTTTTATCAAAATCAACTCCACAAATCTGTAACATTATTATTTAAAGGATATGTTAAAACTGGTCTTACATCTTTCTATATACACAAAAATAAAAGCTTTGGATAGAAGTCTTTTAAAATGGCCCGATTTTCCTCTAGGGAAGTAACAAGTTCATAACTGACATATTTTGGTAATAGTATGCCATCTTATCATGTCTTATATAATAAAATATTAATTAATATTTTATGTGAGGTTTATATCTAAATTAAATGCAACTGTATACATGGCTAAAAGACATAGCACTGGACTAAAGTATTATCAAACTGTAATGACACACATGTCTTCAAATAAAGAGAATTTCTTATTTCTCTGGAGGGGCAACAGCCTCTAACTCCAAAGCTTCTTTTAAATCAGGAATTGCATGACTTGATATATATTTGGTTTAAAATTAAACCAGGACAATCTGAGCCTCATCCTTCCCAGCTGCTGTTCAAGAAAGTTTTCTTCAATTTAACTAATAACAGGGCAAAAGAGACTTCCTCAGAAAATGAAGAACTATTACAACAACTCTATCCCAATAAAGTTTTTAATACATTTCCTCCCATTCAAAAAGTGATATTAATATTAGTCCTTAAAGAATTACTCACCCAATGAAAGCCACCATCTGTTCCACTATGTGTTTGCTGAACGTTATTATAACAAAGATTTTCTGTAAAGAAAATACCAGTTTAAATGTTAAAAGTTATTTAATAAAATTAAGATACATATTTCTCTCATTAAAAAAAACAATATAAATTCACAATTCTGACAATAGTCTGAAAGGGTGAGCTGCTGCCCATAATTACAATTTAAAAAATTCTTTATAAAAAACATAAACACCATTTGCTACCTACTTTGTATTTTAAAGATGTTTTTCCTTAAGCACAGTTCTAGTCTTTTTAGGATATGTGACCATATCCGAGGGAAAAATATGAGTCATGAAACCGAAGATGGGGTGGACATTCCACATGTTTTATGTATCTTAGAATGGTGTGCACAGTCAGTCTGATGACAGGGGTCTAGGCTAAATCTAATCCAGAGGATCTTGAAAAGACTGTATATCTTTCATGGAAAGTTTTCATAGAAGGAAGTATCACGGAAATTCTGTTCTCAGATCCTGAAGGCGCTTGGCTGTTCAGGGTTAAGGTACAAACAAAGGCATGAACCGATTATTGAGGATCTTTACCAGACCTGGGTCATTTTCAATTTGGTGATATTGAGGTAGTCTCCATTAATTAAAGATGTTGATAGCTTACCTCACTTACAAGAAAAGATGCTTTTAGGGCTAACGGGTAGTGAATATTCTCAACTTAATTCAATAAATGTCACAAAAAGTACTTATTATGGGTATTATTAATAGTTTCCAGGGAACACAAAAATGAGAATACTTCTTCAATGCCCTAAATATATTCACAAAATTTTCTATACACAGTAGAAAGATGGTAAATACCCTGTATATGTATATGTATGTATAAAGACGAACTATAAATGCCATTAGTGGTAAAAGCAATATGATATAAAAGTTCAGAGAAAGGCCCCGGCCAGTGTGGCTGAGCATCGATCGTCCTGTGCACCATAGGTCACAGGTTTGATCCTGGGTCAGAGCACATGCCTGGGTTGTGAGCTGGATCCCCAGCAGGGGACATTTAGGAGGCAACAGTTCGATGTTTCTCTCAAATCAGTAAAAACTTGTGTGTGTGTGTGTGTGTGTGTGCATATATATATATATATATATATGTATTTTATCCTCACCTGAGGACATTTTTCCATTTTTGTTCAGACAGAGTGGGAGTGGGGGTGGGGGGAAGAAAAAGAAAGAAAGAAACATCGACTTGAAAGGAACACAATGAGTGGCTGCCTCCTGCACGACCCCAACCAGGGCCAGGGATGAATCGCAATTGCGGTATGTGCCCTTGACCAGAATTGAACCTGCGACTCATTATTGGTCCTCAGACCGACATTCTAACTGCTGGGCCAAACCAGGCAGGGTAGTAAAAACATATTTAAAAAAAAAAGTTCAGAGAAAGGAAAAGTCACATAAGTAAAATTAGATTCAAGAAGGTGACATTAAAGTTTAGCTTTAAAGGATTGATAATAACCAATTAAATATGAGAAATTCTAGATTCTCTCAATTAAAAAAACTCTTTAGTGTTTTGTTATTCTTTGTTACATAATAGAGCCTATGTAACAAAAGGGGAGGGTAGGCAAATAAATAACAATAACAATACTTTTTTTTTTTTTGGTTACTTTTCACCTGAGGATATTTTTTCATTGATTTTTAGATAGAGTGGAAGGGAGGGAGGGAGCAAGGGAGGGAGGGAGTGGAGTAGGGGGAGAAACATCAATGTGAGAGAGACACAACAATTGGTTGCCTCCCATATGAGTCTGACCAGGCCTAGGGATCAAACCTGCAACCCAGGTACATGCCCTTGTCCTGGAATCAAACTTGAGACACTTCGGTCCTCAAGCTAAGGCTCAAACCACTGAGCCAAACTGGCCAGGGCCGATATTTTTTAAACATCTATCCATTATAAATCTCAGAAAAGTAGCTGTTTTAGACTAAAGCTTATTATTTTAGGTAGAAGACAATAAGGCAATGACATTTTCTTTTTTCTTTTTCTGTCCTTTTATTTATTTATTAATTTTTAATTTTTATTATTTTTTATCCTCACCCAAGGACATTTTTCCATTTTTTGTTCAGGTAGAGTGGGAGGGAGAGAGAGGAACAGAGAGAGAGAGAAACATTGACGTGAAAGGGACACATCGAGTGGCTGCCACCCACATGACCAACCAGGGCCGGGGACAAACTGCAACCGAGGCATGCGCCCTTAGCGGGAACCGAACCCGGGTCTCTTGGGACCATAGACCGATGCTCCAACCGCTAAGCCAAACTGGCCAGGGCTTTCTGTACTTTTAAATATGTTTTTAATTGATTTTTTTTATAGAGATAAGAAGTGAGAGAGAGATAGAAACATCGATTGGCTGCCTCCTGCATGCTCCCCACTGGGGATCGAGCCCACAATCTGGGCATGTGCCCTGACTGGGAATTGAACTGGGACCTCTCAGTCCATGGGACGATACTCAATCCACTTAGCCACACTGGCTGGGCCAGGGTGCATTGTTTTTTAAATCCTCACCAGAGGACATTTTTTCCTTTTTTGTTCAGATAAAGTGGGAGGGAGTGAGAGGAAGAGAGAGAGAGAAACATCGATGTGAAAGGAACACATCGAGTGGTCGCCACCCACACGACCCAACCAGGGCCGGGGACAAACTGCAACCAAGGTACGTGCTCTTAGCAGGAACCAAACCCGGGTCTCTCTGGACCGCAGGCCACGCTCTAACCACTGAGAGAAACTGGCAAGGGTGCAATGACATTTTCTTAATCAACGTCCTAGTATTAATAGATATCAGCAGTTGCAGTGTAAGGATATGTGTAAGAAAATGAGACTAAAACAAAGTTCATGGTCCTTTTTGGTGCTTGTTTATACATCTATTAATTTGAAAAAGTACCTATCTCATTAAAAAAGAAGCACATATAGATTGTAAACATTTATAAGAAGGATGATGACTTTATAAACAATGTTACACAAATGATGTATGAAGATTAGGAAGCTATTAAGACTATTATAGATCAGTTAGGGAGAAAAGCATTAATACATGGGGGGCCTTCTAGTATCCATACTAAAAGCCAGTTATTTGGAGCTATAAATCTTTTCCTAGGAGACAGAGCCAATGGCTTTGTCTTAGTGATCTCACCGACATGAGCTTTCCCTACTGCCATTTCCTAACATTCAGAATAAGCCAATGCCCAGATAATTGCACAATTTCATTGCTTAAAAACAAACCAAGACTGTTTTTATATGTAACAACTTGAAAATCCACTGTTCTCAGTAAGACATAAATGTGTCAGACATTTAAGGACATAAATCTCAGCATCATTCAGGCTGGAGGTCTGAGTGGGGGGATCCTACCAAAGAAATAAAAGGCATAGACCACTAATTGGATCACTCCACCATGTGCAAAAAGGAAACAAGGGGAAGGGGAGAGTAGGAGGAAAACAGACATAGGCATAGGAACTACTGGAGGCAGAATGAACAAAGAAGAACCTATCTGTAAAAGTCCTTATTGTAAGAAGAACCACATTCAGATTCATGCATTAAATATTTACAGAGTACCTACTACATCCACATGCTATTCTAGGCAGTAGAATACCTCAGTGAGGTGGTGGGTGGGAAACAATACACATAATAAGTAAATTGTATAGTTTATAAAGTATTATATGTGAGCATGTTGACTTCTCACCTTCTTCACTATTTATGTTTCTAAGGGTCCTTCTATAAGGCAGAGGACTTCAACTTATCCAGTGGAAGGGGAAATCCTGATTTAACCTTAGGTGGGCTGATTTGAAATTTTTAGGGGAGGTTTAACAGGTAGCAAAATATCAATAAAAATAACCATATTTCTCAAGGAAAGCTGTCTAGTTTAAGCTGAGGAAAGAAAAGAACAAGAGGAGGAGACAGTTTTACTATTAGATTACAGAAAAATCTGTGTGGTGTCTCCCGTTATTTCAGGAATAGTTATAATGTTTATAATACTCATTAATATTGCTTACCAAGGAATGAGAAATATTTGTTGCCCTGAGTTACATCTGGATGTACATCAAGTGACATGCCTTTAGAAAGTACGTCTCTCTGATACAATGGAACATAGCAAACATACCCCATGTTCTCAGTTTAGTGAAGGAACTCAGATTCTTTCCTTTCAGAAACATAGGTGGATTTTAGCTTTCTTTTTGTTCTTCCACCCAGAAGCAGGGAATGAGCTTTAAATCTAGAGTTTGGTTTAAATTTCTGGGCCTTAGGCATGCATTTTATCTTCTCTAATACTTAGTTCTTCCACCTGTGAAATATGGATAATAAGCACCTCACAGGATTGTTCTGAGATAACCAACGCCAACTGCTGGGTATAAGTTCTGATAAATAGCAGGCATCCGACAATTCATTTTCCTTAATTTATAGTTAAGAAGAAAATGCAAAAGACTGAAAAAAACACGGAACTTGAAGCCAAAAGACTAGGGTTCAAACTCCAGCTGTTACTCTCTTAGGCACCTATTACTTATTAACCTCTGTAAGTTTGATAATTGCACAATGGGAGTAATAATTTCTCTATCCCAGTATTATAATGATTCAATCAGATGACATACACTAAGTGCTTTAAAGTGTGAAGTACAATATATTTACAAAAAGCATTATCATAACTTGAAAAAAAATCTACTGAGAATGTTTTAAAAATATACTACTTTTGACTATTCTGCAATGATATTCCCTACCACTATAGGGTACTTTTAGCATCACAAATTTAAAGCAGGATGCATAAGTTTATGGATTCCTAGAGAAGTTGCTGTTATAAAGGGAATTAAACAAACCTGTTACTTTCAAAGGACTCCCAAAGCTAAATGATAGCTTCTTTCTTTCCCCAGAGAGAACCGAAAAGATTACAGAAAACATTTCTTCATGTACACTGCAAAATAATTTATTATTCACCACAATATTTTATTATTTGAAAAATCCTGTTATGGTTTTTTTGTGTTTTTTTTAAAATCCTCACTCAAGGACATTTCTTGCATTTATTTTCAGATGGAGCGGGAGGGAGAGAGGGGTGAAGAGAGAGAGAGAGAAACATCAACACAAGAGACACTTACTGAGTGGTCACCACCCACACGGCCCCAACCGGGGCCAGGGGACAAACCGCAACCAAGGTACGTGTCCCCAGTGGGAACCAAACCTGAGACTCTCTGGTCTGCAGGCTGACACTCCAACTGCTGAGCCAAACAGGCCAGGGCCTGTTATGGTATTTTAATGTATATATATATTTTTTCCTCTAATTTTTTTTTGTATTGATTTTAGAGAGAGAGGAAGGGCGAGGGAGAGAAAGATGGAAACATTGATGAGAGAGAACACTGACTGACTGCCTCCTGCATGCCCCACACTGGGGGTTTGACCCACAACCTGGGCATGTGCCCTGATCAGGAATTGAACTGGCGACCTCCTGGTGTATGGGTGAACGCTGTTATGGTATTTTAAATCCTTACTAAAGAAATTAGCATTCCAATATTAAAGAACCTATATTAATTGTACAATATATGTAATATAAATGGAATAAATATATTCCTTGAAGAAGGAAAAACATATCTTTGAAATTCTGAGTGATTATAATGGCAGGAGAGAGTAGAGGGCAGGTTCCATAAACTCATTTAAAATGCCAAAATCTGCCCTGGCCAGTTTGGCTCAGCGGTTGGAGCATTGGCCTGCAGTCCAGAGAGACCTGGGTTTGGTTTGGTTCCCGCTAAAGGCAAATACCTCGGTTGCAGTTTGTCCCCGGCCCTGGTTGGGTCATGCGGGTGGCAGCCATTTGATGTGTCCCTTTCACGTCAATGTTTTTCTCTGTCTCTCTCTCTTCGTTTCTCTCCCTCCCACTCTATCTGAACAAAAAATGAAAAAAACATCCTCGGGTGAGGATTAAAAAAAAAAAAAGCCAAAATTGAATATTAGAGACTGGGCAGGAAGAGAACAGCTGACATGTTTCTGTTTCATTCTCCTGTTCTAAGAACCAGAGGTAGAGAGATGTTGAAAAGACACTTGGGGGCTAGACGTGTTTTTAATTATTAAGGAATCACACGCAGCACAGACATTACTCATTGTTCTTTCCTTTCTTTTGGTGAATGACTCTTTGTTGCAAACTTCATTGATTAAGAAATTCTTTCCAGGTTAATTTTATTTTATTCTGGTGAGATTTGCCCTTAGAAGGAAACAATTCATATCACAGCCCTAGAAGCACATATCCATTTCCCCGCATTTAAGTTTCTTTAGTGTCTTTTCTCTCCTTTATTCATGTAATGAATACTAAAAATTCTGTTAAGAGTGGCTTTGAAGACTAGCGGACTTTCACTTCTCTAACCACAACCCACAGCTTCTTGCCTCTTCGGAGACCCCTTTCTTCCCCATTCTCTCCAACACCAACATCTGTCAGGTTTTCTGTAAAGAATACTGGTATCTTGAGAGGAAGTGTTATATACAGTGTGTGAAAGAAAAGTAGAATTAGTGAAAGGCAATATTCTCTCAGCTCATGGTCAGTAAAGATACTGTTTTTTGGACTATGCATATAAAAATTATATGCATTTTCCTACATGGGAACACTGTTTGCTTGGTAAAAGTCCTGGATAACAGTTTCACAAGGCAAAAAGTGAGATAAATAAAGAAAGAGATAAGTAACAAAGGCAGAAAGAAAGAAATCCAGGAGAAAAATAATAAAGGGGCATGGTTTTCCAACAGTGACAACTCACTAACCTCTAAATGACATGGTTAAACACCTCAGCAAGCTACCAACCAAAAGAAGCAGAACTAAAATCTTAACAATTCACCTTGGAATGAGCAAGGGAAATATGATTCAGTGCCTTTTAATGGGCCCATCATCATTAGGTAAGGGATAAGAGGATACAATTACCTGAATATGCATTTTAATTATTGCTTTTCCAATCAAGGTTGCACCAAAGAAAGTCCAAAAAGGTACAAGAAAGTGTCCACATGTTATTCCAGCCAGATCAAACAGAGGATTTGGAATCTGTAAAATAAATAATTAAATAAATAAATAAAAAGGAACTTCTACATACAATCCAAAGAACAGGTTCATTTCAGCACCTATAAGTAAATCCTTACTCACACTGCAAAGAAGGTATGGTTCCTTGATCAGTATGAGACTGTTTAGAAGGTTAGGTAAGTATTCTAATGTGTCCATAAACTGGGTCTTATATTTGTCTCAGGCTGCTCAGTCTGTTCAATGCAAACCAGCTGTCCCTTGCTTGTATTACTTATAAATGTCCAATAAATATACTTTTTTCTACCACATTAGAATTGGACAAAGCCAATGGATCCACAGGAATTTAATACCATTCAGTAGATACTTGGCTATTTGGTAGCTGTTTTCTAAGGTGAGGTATAAATGAGAAAAAGTCTTAAGAATATTTCAGTAGTTACTAGAGTTAGAAAATCTTTAGCCTGAAATAAGAATATTATCTAGAAAGTGCTCATATCTATATATAGCACACACTGTTGTAAATTCACAAATACATTTATGGGTAGGTAGATGTGCTTTAGAGCCCAAGGCCATGTGGTTGTGTGATACATTTTAGAAAAAAAAATCAAGTGTGGAAATACAAGAGCACTGATTCAGATGTTTTGAATACTCAGTCCCAGACAAAGAAGTGATTCACAACAAATACCTTTTCCAAACATTCCCACATTTCAAGAATGCTAAAAGGCAATTTCATGTAAAAATGCAGAGACCACCAGCTGCTTCATCCTTTTTTCTCACATAGAAGTACTCTGTCCTTGTGGCTGTTGGCCGAACCATTTATTTATAAGTCAATTAATTTACGTAATTTCATTTCTAAACTTCCAAAGAAAAGCCCAGGTATTTAAAAGATATTTGTCATATATGTCCTTTTAAAAACAGTTCCATGACTAAATTAGAATTCAAGTATTCTTTTGTAACACTTGGAGTCAATAACTCAGTTTTGTTTTTCCCATCCGAATTCAAAGCTTTTATGCAATTTCATCTGACTTATGACCATGCAATAACAATCATTTCACAGGCTTACAACTGTCATTTCTTAAATTTTTTCATGTGACCCTCACACCTCTGAATTACAATTTTAATTGTTTTCCTTTTTTATCAGGCTCTATCTCACTCAAGAGTGTAAACACCCCAATAATCACACTTATGAGCTATAAAAGGATCCACATATATAATCTTAAATCCTCACATCAGCCTTTGCAATGAATGTCTTATTGCCCCATTTTGACAATTAAAACCCTAGGGTTCAAAGAGTGTAATGACTGAGGTTACAAAGCTGGTAAGAGTCATAGCTAGGAGTCTAAGTAAGCCTGCCTTCAAAGCCAGTTCTTTCCTCTATATCATACTACAACATACCTATAAATTGCTCAAATAGTTAAGATCAATATTGTAATGAGCTTTAAAAAGAAAAGTTAGATTATGAAAATTTCTAGTATTGCCAAAGTCAAAATATAGTAATTTAGGCACATGCATGTTTTAGAATAGCTCTAGAATGTTGATATCAGATTAGAAATTTTGGCATCAAATTATATCCTTTTTGGCCATTTGCTTTTTTCCTAAGGGGTGGAAGAGGGATACTCAAAGATGTACTAATGTTCCAGTACATAATGGATAAAAGAGCTGGTATCAGTAGTTTTGTGAATTTTATTTATAATGGCAGCTTTTATCGTATCAACCAGGTGTACCTAGTTATTCTGGCCAAATCCACCACTGTGATACGAACAACTGCATCCAGGAGACCAAGGAAAACGTGGATCAAAATGCTCCATTTTACATTAATTGTGTGTATATTAGAAAAGGACCAGAATAAACACTATCTAAGAAGGTCGGTTTTACAAAAATGCATTTTGAGAATTAACTCAGTTAAAAAAATTTTTAAAAATTACAGTTTATATTCAGTATTATTTTGTATTAGTTTCAGGTACAGCATAGTGGGGACATTAAGTTTGTTGCTGTTGTTGTTGTTAAATCCTCACCCAAAGCCCTGGCCAGTTTGGCTCAGCGGTTAGAGCGTCAGCCCGTGGACCAGTGAGTCCTGGGTTCGGTTCCCGCTAGGGGAATGTACCTAGGTTGCGGTTTGTCCCCAGCACTGGTTGGGGTCATATGGGTGGCAACCAGTCGATGTCCTCCCCCCCCCTGCCCCCACCTGCTCTATCTGAGGATAAATGCAAAACTATCCTCAGGTGAGGACAAAAAAAAAATCCTCACCCAAGGATATTTTCCCATTTATCTTCAGATAGAGTGGGAGGGAGAGAGAGAGAGAGAGAAACACTGATGTGAGAAAACTACATAGACTGGTTGCCTCCCACATGATCTCAACCAGAGCCAGGGACGAACCACAACCGAGGTACATGCCCTTGACCAGAATTGGACCACAGACTCTCTGGTCCTCCAGCCGATGCTCTAAACGCTGAGCCAAATCAGCCAGGGCTGACGCTGTAAGTATTTTACATAAAGGGCTTCTTAGTTCATTATAGTCAAAGACGCCCTTTCTTTGCCACAGATGTTCCAATGATCTAACTAGGTGTTAACGTCACTTAAGACAGGTTTTATACAAATTCTTATAACTAATGCTTGAAACTTTGGAAAAAGATGACTTATCTATAACTCTTAAAAGAATGAAGTCATTGTTATTTGGTTTAAATGCACTTCATTATAAATTCTTTATGGGAAGGATGGATTTTGTCTCTTTTGTTCTTACTGAATCAAGCCATTTAGGTCTGAAGTCATCATAGCACGATGAAATGCTTATAAGTCAATAAACAAAGTATGAACACATCCAACAGAAAACAGCTCATTTGATGAGTAAGATGAATGATTAATAAATGTACAGACCCATTAAAAGTGATAGCATTAATGCTCATTCAGGCATGTATCTTTAAAAACAAACTGGATCAAAATATAAATCTACTATTTATTAGAATTCCTCACTTTTAATACAATTCACTTACTGAAGCACAGGCCAAAATTCCAAAAAATCCAACCTTCTGTACTAGGTTTTGAACTGCCAACTTAGCCCGGGAGGCAAAGTCCTGTATAAAAGAAGGACATCAAAACATTAATGAAAAGTACAAGGAAGAAAGAAGGAAAGATGACTGTTTATAGAGTTTATGTCTCATGATCTTAAAGCATTGATTCATTTAATGAGCAAGATGAATTATTTTTGAAAATTACAGGTTATACTGGAAAACATGCAAATAAAATCTTGATAGAACATTAATTACATCCTTAATGATAAACTTGTACCAGATTTCAAGAATAAGCCAAAACATTGTGACTTTAGTTTCTGGATCCTCCCTGGATTATCTAGATATGAACAAAACACTATAAACTAACCATGAACCAACTCATCCTTTTGGAAATACTGGCCTATCACATGTATCTGTTTCTCTTTCTTTCTACATCTCACCAGACTCACTCCCTGATTAATATCAGGGTAAGAAATCATGGGATTTTTCAAGACAGCAAGTAAAGACACCTGTGCTGATCACTAGCCAGAAGATGGAAAAAAAAAACGTTATGTGGGAATAACTAAGCATTCATTACACCCAAAAGCAAAATAACATCCTACATTTGCAAGTCTGCGCTAGTTTTCATAAACATTTTTCTTGAGCCTTTCAACAATCCTAGGGTGTAGATAGAGCAGATTCTTCAGACTCTGAAATAAGTGCTCTTTTTATTTCTTTTCTTTTTTTCTTTATCCTCACCCAAGGACATTTTCCCATTTTTTTGTTCAGATAGAGTGGGAGAGAGAGAAAGGAAGAGAGAGAGGGAGAGAAACATCGACGTGAAAGGGACAGATTGAGTGGCTGCCACCCGCATGACCCAACCAGGGCAGGGGACAAACTGCAACCGAGGTCATGCCCTCAGCGGGAACCGAACCCGGGTCCCTCTGGACCGCAGGCCAACGCTCTAACCGCTGAGCCAAACTGGCCAGGGCTCTTTTTATTTCTTTATTGCCACTTCTAATGCTGAAACACACATGTGGCAGGCTAGTTTATTCCTACAATTTTCTTCTTCCACCATGTGGATGCTACAATTATATGTATATATTTTTCTTAAAAATATCAATCTGAAATTTGACTATAATTCTCTTGTCATTTTAAAATGGCATATACTCCAATGGAAATAACTGATATGATAAAAAATATTAGTTAATGTGTAAATGTGTTTTTAAAAAGTGTTCACATTACAGAATTTCTTCTTCTCTCTTTAGTTCAATATTCTAATAGGCAACAATCTTATAGAAAGGTCAGAATATAAGAAATAGAAGGTCCCTTCACCGAACAGGAACAGGATTTAAAGCACTTCTCTAATCCACAATGGAAGCTGTGTATTTCTACTAAAACAAACAAACAAAAAAACCCTTTAACAAATAATATGTAGAATAACCCTATCAAATTACTACAATATTAAATATTAAAAATTAAAAAAAAATACCTTCCTCCTACTTAAATCAATAAGTATATGTATTTTAAAAGATATTAAGTCAATATAACCACTTTCAAGTTCAAGTATATAGGCTCTCAAAGTGAATCATTAACTACTTTCTACAATGCAATTTTGTAATTTTACAAATTATTTCCAAAGAGAGAATTTTTCTTTTGGGAATAAGCCTTATTTTTTCAGTAGGTCATTATATCAGATTTAAGATTTTTAAACAACTGAACTAGTGCAGTAAAGGGTGCTTTCCATTTCATTCAGATTTCTGACTGAAGATTTAGTTTCTTTCTTAAATCAACAACTACTGCATTAAGAATGAAATATTGATTTAAAAACTGTTCAAGAATATATAATAAAATCAGTTTTCTAAAATGACATATTTTAGAACAAATTACTTCTATTTATTTTGAATAATTACACTGGCCAAATTACTAATTTTGTCATTTATTAGAAGCACAAAATAAAAACTGGTAAGCCATAATGAAATGTTTTGATATTTTAAAATATCAAACAATACTATTAAATTATGAATTAGTTATGAAAATTTCATTAATATAGCCTATGAATTAAAAATATAAATAGAGGAAAAATGCCTTCTTTTATAGCCCTTAATATCTTTATAGCAAATACACTCTAATATGGAGCAAGTTGGTACTCAATTGCTAAGAAAAAGTAAAAACAGAAAAAAAAAACTATACAAATTTTATTTTAAAGACAATGTACTTTTTATGAATGTATTTTCTAAGTCAGACGTGGGAACATTTTTCTATCACAGAATTTATATACTCTTCAATATATAAAATTATAGAAAATTAAATTTTTGCATAAAATTGTATAAACAAGATGAGTAGTATTTAGAATGTTTGGTGTCCTGTTTCCTTTTCTGTAATTTTCAATTATAGCTGACATAATATTATAGGTGTCCCTTTTCTTTTTATCTTAATTTCAAGACTTTAGAATCTTATATTTATTTAAACCAGGTGACTATGTAGTGCCATCATGTTAAATTGATGGTATTTTTCTACTAGAGATACACACATAAACACATTTAAATAGAAAAAATAGGTATAATTATACCAAATGGTTTATATAAAAATGATTAAACATTATGCAGATCACCTAATATACAAAATAATAAAAAATTTAAGCCTACAGAAATTCAAGGAATCATGTTTTTAAAAACATCCTGAAAGTAAGGAGACATTTTATCCCTTTGAGGCAGAATCTCTTTACTCAACAGAAATTAGACAAGAACAAAGGAAAATAGACTCCTTGTTCTTTCAGATGCCTGGGTGCCCATCATCAATTATTCTTAAGAGGGCTTCAAGAATTTTTATTTGAGGGAAAAGAATTACTCTATCCAAATAAGTGAAGTAGAAACCCTTTTCTTTTTTAAAATTAATTTTTAGCTGGCACATCTTACAAGGAAAACAAGTTAAATGCCTTTTTAATGGGAAATTTTTACTTTTTGAAGTCTGAAAGTCATATACTGAAAATGGATTTCATAAATCTCACTATGTGCTTCACACACACGTACACAATGACCATGCTACTTTCGGTTCCTATAATTTATTTTCCAGGACTTTCACAATATCTTAAAATTAAAATTACATTTCTACTTTAAACTACCCACAAACATTTATTTCAATTAAACTAATATGAAGTCTGCACAGTTGTTTTCATTACGAGAAATCAATAGAAGAATATATAGCTCAAGGAAGTACTTTCTTGATGTTTTTCCTTGCCAGTGTAATTCAAACAAACTCAGGGAATCATTGTATTAGTATTTTCACCAAATCTAAAATATCTTACAATAGTAAAAGAACTCATGTTTAGATTTCATAAACACAACCATATTTTGTTTTTATTTTAAACTTATTTCACTTTAAAGCCATATATTCAAAACTTACTGATATAGCTTTAGAGGCTTACTAGTATAATTTTATTGAAAACATCATTCCTTTATTATCTAAAATATTCTACATTTAGTTGTACTTTCCTTGTTTGTTGCTCTGTAGTTTTAAAACTTCTTAATTTTTTAAAAAATAACTTGGTATTTTTTCATTATTTGTATAATTTGATGGTTCTTTCTTAACATGTTGATTTTACAGTAATATTGTCTAGGCATTAAAAGAATTATATTTCTAGCTGCTTTAAAATAGAATTGTACTTTGGATATATTATTTGATAATAAACTCAAATAAACACACACACCCCTCCAAAACCAGCAAAAAACTGCTTTTACTAAAATGTAAAAGAATCATTTCAAACAAAATCTGCTATTCTTTTTAGGCCATCAAATAAGATAAATTAGCCAAGGAAAAGTTTGCACTGATAATAAATAACAATGTTTTAAATAAAGAGTTTAACAAAATTAGTATGTTAGGTATTCAAAATTCAAATAAAATATAAAAGGAAATTAATATTTCGTTTGAATGGTCTTGGTGTATTTGTGGGAACAAAGTAGTAAGCTTAATTTGATTACTTCCTCAATTGTTATTCTTTACTTAGAAAAAATCCGTACAACTAAAACCAAATTCCTTTAAGTAGTTTCATTTCTCTGGATTCACATTTCACAACATATACCCATTTCACAATTTAAGTGCCTGAGATAAAAGTTTTATTCTCTAGCTCTACCTAAATAAATAGCATGCATTTACAATTAGTTATCACATATCACTTTTCACTTTTTAAAAATAAACAAAATGCAAGTAAATAAAATTATCTTTCCTACTCCCACTGATAGTGATTGTGTATGTGACCATTCATGCTTCTGAAAGGCAGAGTGAGAGACACTAGCAATATTTACCATTGACTTCAAGAAGACAGATGAAGAAAAGTTAAGTCTTACTGCTGAGATTTCAAGAAATAATAACCATGCAAAACCTTCAAGTATGAATATTCTGCACTACTTTTGCTTCACATTTCTTTTTCCTAAGAAATATATTTATGATTAAGGGAGAAGAGAAACTGTATTGCTAATCATAGTAGCTTGCAAAATGTTAATCTTTGAATCTAAAGATGTCAAATTGGATGTAAATATACAAAATAACATTTATCTTCAAATGGCAACAGTAATCTATTTTATTTCCATAAGTGACCACATAAAATTTCAAGATCTCTTTAAAAGTAACAGAAAAATCCCTATACATGTTAAATGAATGTAGTATTACTGGAGATAAATATGTATTTGGTTAATAAGCTTATGTTAGTCTGAGTTGACCTATTACCATCAATGTACTGGTAATTGTTCAGTAATTTTGTGAATTATCTTCCTTCTTAACCCATCATATGTTAAAACTGCTGAAATGCTCTTCTTGGGGTTGGTATTAAAAGTGGTTCCACAGCCAATATTAAAAACCACAGACCAACTGCTGCAATAATAATTCCTTGTGTAAAAGGGGAATTTATATTAAAATACATTGTATTTGTGAAGTTCTTTTGCTATCTAAAACAACTTGTTAGTGTGTCCTTGTCAATTATGTTGTGGCAAGCAAGTTAAAATCTATTAACCAGAAATGGAGCTAAATAGTAACAATGACTTAATGTTAAAAGCTGATTCAGCATCACTGACAATCACTGTGAAACA